TTTATTTCTAGGAATAAATACTATTTCATCCTCCTTTCCTTCTGTGTAGGCTTTTTCTCCGTGGGAAGCCTCCCTGAATCCCTATTTGATTACAAAGCCCCCTTTCTTACATTATTCCAGTTCCATGTGTGCAGTTTAATCATAGGAACTACCTGTTGCATTAAAATGTTGTTCCTTGTGTTTTGCTCCCCCACTAGACTATAATAAATCTCCTGAAAAAAGGAAACCGTTTCTTCCTATATGTCTGGCCTGAAGTAGATATATGTACATTAAATAGTTGCAGAAGGAAAAAGTGAAAGGAAAATGATTTGTCCAAGATTACAATTATAGATATTACAATCCTCCTCAAAGGCTTGGCAACTGAGTCTAGAGTTTTGGGGAGAGAGGGAGGGAGAGGTCCTGGGCTTCTGAAATGTCCTATGAGGCTGCAGAGGTGGTAAGGAGAGAGCCATTTTTGTCTCTGAAGTTGCCTGGATTTGTTTCTTCTCCAGGGAAGTTCCAGATGCAGGTCCTACCTCAGTGTGGCCACGCAGTCCATGAGGATGCCCCAGACAAGGTGAGCCCAGTGCTGATGACTGAGAGTTGTGAGGACCTCTGTGAGAGTAACCTTGGGTCTCACAGAAGATAGAACATAGCTCTAAATCAGTCTGTGTTCCTGCAGCTGTTTCTGTGGGGCCTACACAGATGCAATGCCACCAGCTCCCAAACCTCTCTCTGGCAGCTGCCAGTGGTCTTGGCTTTCTGTGTGTGGGCTGAGAAGTTACTGGCACCCTGCTATTTTATCCTGGGATCCTATAGTGAAGATCTTAAGCTCCACTTCTCCATTACCTCCAAAAGCCAGATGGAAAAAGGGATAATTGGGGTAGAAACTGCTCCCTAAATTATACTAATAGTTCGGAATGAGTCTCCTACCCTAGCAGTACCAGGTCATTGTGATCTCAAGCTCCCAAGACCTGTAGGTCCCGTGAGTTCACTATAGGGTCTGACCTTCCAGCAGAAGCCCCCAGGACCTCTAAGGCTGAGGCCCATGGCTAGGAAAATCTCTGTGTTCTAGGTAGCTGAAGCTGTTGCCACTTTCCTGATCCGGAACAGGTTTGCAGAGTCCGTCGGTGGATTCCAGTGGTAAGCAGTAAAAAGGTTTAACCAGTTAACTGCCACGCATCCAAAACGGGAACCATCCCCATTTCTCCCATATGTTCTGGAATATTTACAAATTTAAGTTACCATAATTTTCTTTACAAACCCAGAGATGTCACTAACAAGTCTGATTTTAAAATTGGGCGACCATAGTTGGTAGGTGAGGTTTCCGGCTATAGACACACATGGCGGGTGGGGAAGGTCCGCTGCTTGAGTCTATAGATGCTTATGGTGTACAAAGGATTAAGGAGCCCAAAGTGTTGGCCAACTCCAACAAAAAGATATTTGCAAAGTTGTAACTATCTCTTCAAAGAATATTTGCAAAGTTGTAACTATCTCTTCCTTAAACCCTGTCTGGTTCAGTCACCATGCCTTCCTCAACACAGAGCCCAACATGTGTGTTTCTACAAATGCTATTGTTTGTTTGTCTCTCTGGTCATGGGTTGTTGCTGAGCTGAGATTAAATTGTCCCTCACCACTCTACACCCCACCCCCATGTGCACTTCTTATTGAGGTGGCCCTTCTCTAAGGAAGCTGGGATGGGCATCAGTCCTTTCCCAGGCTCTTAGAGAGATCTGCGGAGGAAGGCTGGGCAGGCCGTGGAGGCTGAATAGAGACCCAGAATAGGGTATTCAACCTCAGCACTGTTGATACTTGGGGCAGGTAATCCTTTGTGTTGGGGACTGCCCTGTGCATTATAAGAGGTTCCACAACATGCCGGGCCTACGTGCACTAGAAACCAGTAGCACCCTCTTGAGAATTCAAACGTGGTATTTTGTGGAAGAGCCTAGATTTTAGCAAATGTCCCTATGTGGCTCGCGAGCTGCAGTTTGCCGACCACTGGTCTAGAGAGAAAAGGATGCCTCTCTGCTAGGATGTCCTTCATCTGATTAGGGAGACACAGTTGGGCTCTTTGTTGAGGAGGAAGAGAAGCATGGTGACCCATACCACACGGTCTTGGCCACACCTCAAGGAGCTCCTCGTCTGTGCTACAGAAGGCCCCTGATACCTCACAGAGCCCACAGCCTGATGAAGGTCCAGGGAAACCCGTTCCCCACCCTCAGGAAGTTTGAAGAAGAAGAAATGGCTTTTGTGTTAGAGAACTTGGAATACCAGGGCCTGGGAGGTGAGGGTGACAGGGCAGGGTAGGCATTAGAAATGATGACAGGAGCCTGGCACAGTGAGCCACATATAAGTGACTCCCTTATGCCAAACAGGCGACTGACCAGGAATCAAAAGTAAAGACTGAATTTCTCTTAATAAGCAATGTTTGGGGCCCTACCAGTGGTCGGCAAACTCATTAGTCAGCAGAGCCAAATATCAACAGTACAATGATTGAAATTTCTTTTGAGAGCCAAATTTTTTAAACAAACTATATAGGTAGGTACATTGTTATTAACTTAATTAGGGTACTCCTACGGCTTAGGAAGAGCCACACTCAAGGGGCCAAAGAGCCGCATGTGGCTCGTGAGCTGCAGTTTGCCAACCATGGCCCTAGACCGTTTGGAGCTTTTGTCAAATCAGCAGTACACTGAGAGCAGACCCTGTGTACAGCCCTGAATGAAGCTGTGGGAGGTGGGACAGATCTGCAAGGTCCTTGCTGGTCATCAGGAAGGGCATACTCGAGGAGGCAGGGTGACATTTGTTTTCCCTTCTCTTTCTACTCTTCACAGTGTGTTTCCTGGCTGTTAGTGACCTGCTATCTGTCCTTCCCTTAACATTGAGCTCTGTTGTAAATACATCGCACCAGAGGCCACTGTGATGCCGCTGTCTCCTCCTCACCATCCTGCCCGACCATGTGACACCGGCTTCCTATAGATGGGCATCTCCAGATATACAGACCCTTTTGTGTATTTCTGTTGAAAGCATTGTTTTTCAGGGCCTTTGACCAACATGAGCCTCCCTAGTCAAAGGTTCCCAGATCATACCCCTTCCCTGTTCAGGGTTTGCCTGTTCTCTCTGCCTTACCTAGGGTAAAGCCTTTATCAGAACTGCCACCTGGGCCCCTATTTCTGGCATTAGGCAGTGCACCTAGTTCAAATGTCTCCCCAGGCTCAGAGACCTCTACTCCTTGATATTGTTCTTGGCATAGTTCTGCCCTACTTCACGGTTTGGGCCATGCATAGGGTGGTCCTTATTTTTCCTTTCCAAATAAATCACCAGTCAGGTATCTTTTTATCCCAGTCTTACTCTTCCAGGCTTGGAAGACTCATAGAGTCCAGGATCCAATCCTTAGGTATAAGGAGGTGTAGTGGATAGCATCACAAGAAACCATCCTGAAAATCAGGTCCAGCCAGTCCAAGCACATGGCCTCCTATCTGGGGAGAGCCCACTGTCCCACTCCCACATGTCTGGACACCTGTCCTGGGCTGAGGCCAGGCTGCTCCAGGGACCTCTTGAGCCCTCACCTGTCACAGAGCAACCCAGGTTAAGTACAGCCCATGCACAAAGCCACAGGGCTAAAGCCTGTGCAGTTGTTTTTAAGGGTCAAATTTAACCATTTTCATAAGTGGTTCCTGGAGGTGTGCAGAGTGCCCGCTTGCTTCTTCTAGACCCACACAGCTTATCTTCAGCATTTGTGGTTCCCATGTCACTCTTCATAGAATTAGCTCAGCATCCTCAATCTTTGCCTCTTCCAGTTGCCTCATCACAGCACTACGGCCTCCCCCTGCTGCCCCAGCATACCTTTTCCAAGGGCAGGGAGGGGCAGTCTCCTGCAGCCCACCTTTTCTGTGACTGTCGTAGGTGATGCCTAGCCCCCTCCACTTTTCACCCAACAACTTCCTATCCCTTATCCTGCTGCACGGTCTGGAGTCTGGGACCTACTTTGTTTCTTTGTTATTTATGATCTTGTTAAAATAAATATCTCCCAGCCTTTATTGATATAGTCTCTCCATGAAGTTGTCCTTATTTCTGCTGATATGGGGGGCAGGGGACAATTCATTGGATTTAGTTACCATAGAGCTCCAGAAATCCCTTTCCTGTAGCCCATCAGCATGATATGCTCTGCCTGTTCCTCAGGTCTGGGATGCCCAGTGGAATGGACAGGGCAGCTTCCACAGCAGCCAGGGAAACCTGGATTCCAGTCCCATCTCTTCAAATTATGTGCTGTGTTAACTTGTTCTGGAACAGGACAGTCTGCCCTCACATGACCTCACCACTCTTCGCTTCATATCTGCCAACATCCAGACTTTGTCCACAATCCAGATCATCTCCTGAGCTTAGACACTTGGGTCCTTGTACCTCCTCATCTCTCTCCCAAAAGACCAAAGGCCACTCATGTTGACCATTCCTGAAACTGAATTCACCTTCCCCCTAAAACTAACTTGTTATTTCTCCTGTGTTTCCTAGCTCAGTAAATGGTAGGTACCACCATCTCTCCAATTGTCCAAACCAGACAGCTGGAGCTCCCTAGATAGCTCTCTTACACCCATATCCAGTCTACTACCAAACCTGTTAGACCCGTGGCTCCTGCCCTAGCTGAGGCCTCATCTCTCAGATCACTTCAGTACCTTTGCTGATTCCCTGCCACAGCCCCTCCTTTGGTCGTCCTCTGCACAATGTTGGAGTCCTAGAAAGCTTTGGGCCAGGCTGCCTAAATTAGAACCCATGGCCCAGCCGTTATGGTTTATATGAGATGGCTGATTCTATACTGCAGTTTCCTCAACTGAAAGGTGGAGATCAATAGTAGGGTAGGACCATGTAAGTTAATATAGGTTAACTGGCACAGGGGAGGCACTCAATGAATAGTTCCTGTCATATCACTCCCAGATTACACTTTAAAACCTTTATCACTCAAAGTGGTCTGTGGGCTAGCAGTATCAGTATCATCTGGAAGCTTGTTAAAGATTTTGTCCCTACCCCAGACCTATTAAGAATTGATCTGTATTTTAACAAGCACATTAATCCTGAGAAGTTCAGGGTTAGATGTCCACTAAATATTTCAGGGTAAAGCATGAGCTCCCTAGCAGAGAAGAAAAGTGTTTGTGTGTGATCTCATTTCTCCCACCAATCCCTTGTGGGTGTGGGTGTGGGTGGGATCTCTTTGTGGGGCATGTGCCCTTTGCCCACAGGGGGGCAGCATGATCACATGCATGGTTCTCAGGGACACAGCCACTTTTGTTCACCAGGCTAGGCAAATTAGTCATCAAATTTTGGTGATCTAATTTACTTTACACACATCTCATTTAATTCTCACAGCAACCCTTTGAGGTAAGTGATGTTCCTTTTACAGGTAGACAGGTCCAAATTTATATAGCTTAGAAGTGACAGTGTCAGAATTCAAACCTAGGTTGTTTCCTCTTCATGCTGCCTTCTAGACAATACATGGGACACTGGGCAGAGGTCATTTTGGTCCAGATACTGGATTTAAAAAGAGAAAAAGGATGATGTCCAGGGAAATAAGTCTTCTTCAGATTTGATGGATGGAGGCTGAGAATGAATGAAATGTTTGTCCAATGTTAGGTACTGTGCTAGTCACATCTCCTTTATATGTTGTATCCTTATGACATATGGGCATTATCTCCAATTTAAAGGCACGGAAATTGAAGCTCAGAGATCTGAAATGACTTGCCCACAGCCACAGCTAGGACGTGGCAGCATCTTTGTCTACTGATCATTTCACTACACCCCAGCAGAGAAGGAAACATTCAACAACATATATTTAATGAGCACTTATTATGTGCTGGCTATAACATCCTTGAGCCTACAGATCAGCACTATGAACTCAGGGAATAAAGAAGACCCCCACTCCGCCTTTTAAAAAAATTATTTTTTATTAATCTTCACATGAGGACATGCTTGGAGCGGGGAGAGGAGAGAGAGATACATCAATTGGTTGTCTTTCATACATGTCCCAACCTGGGATTGGAACCCACAACCCAGATATGTGCTCTGACTGGGAATCGACACTTAACCAACTGACCCACTCTGGCTGGGAAATCCCTGGACCTTTTAAGTGAGGATTGCTGCACAGCCAGAAGGAGCATGTTTGGGTCAAACCAAAGACCATTCTGTCACACACACGCTGACGAATACCCAAGGAGAACTTCCTGAAAAATAGAAGGTAGGTGGCCCTGACTGGATAGCTCAGTTAGAGTGTCGTCCCAAAATGCCAAGGTTGCGGGTTTGATCCCCAGTCAGGGCATATAACAAGAATCAACCATTGAATGCATAAATAAATAAGTGGAAAAACAGCCCTCCCTCTCTCTCTCCCTCCTCCCTCCCACCCTCCCACCCTTCCTCTTTCGAATCTGGATTTAAAAAGAAGGCAGGCAGATCTAATAGAAGGGGGATCTCAAAGTTGAGAGGACTCAGACAAAGGCATGAGGGGAGCTGGCATGACTTGGTGTTATCCTCAAACCTGCTGTTGGTGAGCATTTGTTTGCTGGTTAAGCAAACCTGAGAACCTGTTCTGTGCAAAGCTTCTAGTGGATTTTGGAGACAGATACCAATACATAACAAGGCCCTTTAAATTAGCTCACGGTCTAGAGAGACCGTTACAGAAACTGACCACATTGTGCAAAGGACAAGAGGACAACCAAACCTTTGGAAACAGGTCAGAGACGGTTTCACAAAAGAGGTAGCATTTGAGTTGAGCTTTGAAGCATCATCACACGGTGGAGGTAGGGAAGGAAGGGGAATTCACTGCAGGTAGAGGCGACGGCATACTCAAGCCCAGGAGACTTGGAAGTCATTCTGAGAACTGGTAGATTCACGTGATTAGTGTGGCTGGAGTAGGAGGCAGACCCAAAGGCCTTGAGTGGCAAGAATGGGGAGTTGTTTGCAGTGAAGGAACTCTAGTATCCTGTGTAGCTGGATTGGTCTGCACCAGACGAGAGGCAGGAGCTTGTAAAGGGGCAGTTGTAGGAGTCCGTGTAAATGGCAACAGTACACTTAACTAGGACAACGGCTGCAGGGATGAGAGGAGGCGACCGGCTCAAGATTTTGGATGTGAAATGAACAAGACACCGATTTGGACAGTGAGGTGCAAGGACCCTTAAGTTGGATTCAAGGGCCTGTCATCAGAACGGGGGATAGGGAGTTAAAGGGTAAAGACATTAATAAGGAAAAAGCAAGAAGAGAGCCTACAAGAGTAGAGAAAGCAAAGGCAGCCACACTCTTCCCTGCAGGAACAGCGCGCTGTTTGTAAGCTTCCAGCCAACTCTCCTGCCCCAGCTGGCTGCCCATCAGCAGCCAGAGTCAACACATTCTCACTCTGGTTCCAAGGCTCAGAAAGTTATGTAAACTCAAGAGACTCCCTTATTCCTAGAGCTGGCTTTCTCTCCCAGCAGTTTGCTAGAAAACCCCAGCCTGTAGCCAGGCTAAACATTGGAGCCTGCAACTATCTGGTGGACGGAGGGAACAGTTAACTGAGTAGGGAACTGTGTGATGAGGGAGAAAGTGTTTTTCCTGATGATCAATGATGATGCCACAAAGCGATGACTAATCAAGCTTAGCCTAAGGACACAATACAGCATGTACCATTTATAAAGCACATTTTCATCCTTCGAGGTCTCACAGCTCCTCTGGAGTGGGTAGGGGTGGCAGATTAGCAGTGCCATCCTTCAGGTGAGAAAACGAAAGCTCTGATAAGGGAAGTGACTTGCCCAAGGTCACACAATTAGCACAGTCTGGGCTCGGATTCAAGCCACAGAGCTCCCAGGCCAGTGCACACCTTATCACTCCTACATATACCAGAAAAGAGATGGGGATGAGGCAGGTGAGAAGATTGGGGCTTGCTGACAGATACTCACTAGTGGTGACAGGCTCTCAGCCACCTACTAGCTGGGTGACCATTGGCTAGTCACTTCTTTCAGAATTTCTGGTTCCTTATCCAAAAAAAAAAAATATGGGTTGATAATCCTTAAATCACAAGGTGTCGGGAGGGTTAAATGAGACTTAAGTATTTAAAGTATAATCCAAATGTGCTTCCTGGTGAAAAGCAGGAAATGCCATGTTGCTAAGACAAAGGAATTCCAACAGGAGGGGAAACCAAGGCAAAACCCCTTAGATCCAAGGTCCACTGGGTTCACTTCCCCAGCCTCACCAAGTGGGACTGCTCCCAAGCACAACAGGGAATAAAAGAGGGATGGGGTAGAGAGGAAGAAGGGAAAGAGACAGCCTCTACTTCCCGAGGGAGGGAAAGTTGTGAGGATCTTCAGGTGAGAGACAAAGATTAGAAGCAGCTGGTAGGGAGGCCTGCCTCACTCTGCATCCGGCTCTGCTGCTAGCTGTGTGAACTTAAGGAAGTCTTTTCATTGAGCCTCCTTTCCCTCTCTTGCCTTATCTCATACTTGTTGTGAAAGAGAAGGGAGAATAAATAGCTGGCACAGAGTAGGTACAAAGGTGTGTCTCCTCCCCTAGCCCTTGGCTGATTTCACGGTGTTGCCAGAGTGTGCAGCACTCTGCGGGCAAGTGCCCCCTTCGTCCCACCCTCCCTCTCTCATGGATGCTCCCAGCTTGAGAAGCAATGCTCCCAAACAGGGAACTCTTTGAGTGGTCCCATGAAAGGGCAGTCTGTGTTGGCTGCTGTTGGCATTGCTGGACAAGGGCCCCCCAGAATCAACACCCTCTCACATCCTCCTCCTGGACAGCTCTCCCTGCCCCCTTGTGTGTGAAAGGGGACAAGTGAGGTGACAACCGCTACCTCCAAAGGCACACTCTTTCCATTGTATTCCTGGAGCCCCAACATGGAAGCCTTCAGTCTACTCTATCCATAGGGTTCTCCCCTTTCTCCCAGCTCCCATGCTCCTTAGGGTGAGCACCCCACAGCTTTCCCCTTGATTATATCTAATTCTCTATTCTCCCCCTTGGGCATGTGCTAATTTTGCTTTAAGAGCAGTGAGCAGACAGACCTCTTCATTTTCTTGGATTCTCAGGGAGCACCTAGCATGGGGCTGGTCGCACAATAGGTGTTCACTGTACATCTGTGGAATTGAGGTGATTCATTTGTGTATTCAACAAATACCTACATCCTGACAGGGTTCCTAGCCATTAGGCATTAGAGGCACAAAAGACAGACCTTTCCAAAGCCTGGGGAAATGTTGGAGACTCCTTTCAAAAGTTGTTGGCACCAAAAGATATGCTTCCAGTGGGAGCAAAGCAACCACAGCAAAACAACATGTAATGCAGACAACACAGGGCTAGTTAAGCTTTTTGGAGATAGACCTGTATTTGAATCCTGCCTCTGTCACTTTATAGCTATGTACCCTCAGGCAAGTTACACATTCTCTGTCTCTGTTTCCCTTATCTGTAAAATGGGGATAACAGTGCCCATCTCATTGTGAGGACTGAAGAAACAAATACACCTAAGTTCTTAGCACAGTGCTTGGGCTGCAGTAAATAGTCAATATGTGGTTACTAAGGATAATGATAGTAGTCATTATGTAAAGAATATGCCCTGGAGTAAAGCTTGTGAGGGATATATAATGCAATGTCAGAGCCCAGGGTGGACGAAGCTGTTAGAAAAATGGTTGAAGAACAGTACAAGAAAGAAAAAAAGAAAATTATAAATAAGCTATGCCCCAAGCCACGGTCAGTCCTACTTATAATTAGCTACCTACCCACTAAGCGATGTTGGGGCCCCTCAGCCTCACCACTTTGTTGAAGGACTAGTCAGTTTCCCAGGGCATAGAAACTCATGCAAATATAAAAGAATAAGGTCTTTCCACTCTCCGCCTGTGGTGCAATGAAGGGACGTAGCTTTGAGAGCCATCCAGTGGAAAGAGCACTACTGAGGGAGTCAGAAGACCAGGTCTCAGGCCAAGCTCTGCTTTGTCATCCCAGGCAGGCCACTAACCATTCTGGACTTGCTTTCTACAATGCCTGCTCATCTTTCTTCCCTGGTAGGTGAGGCTCAAGAGAAGGGACGCTGAAATGATTTTAAAACTAACATACTGGCCAAAAGTAAGGTGGTACTATTTGTAGCTCTAGGGAGAGTCATTCCTCCCCACCCTACTCCTCTTTCTGCGCCTCTACAAACCCTTCCCAGGACCGCCCCATGTCATCAAGACTTGGCCAGCCTCTCCTTACCCTGAAGCCTCGGTGCTTTGCTCCTGTCTCCACCTATAACTACGTTGTCTTGTGATGATCTGAGGGTCTGGGCAGGGTCGGCATGGAATTCTTTCCATTCCTGGTGTTCCTAAAGGCCTGGCACTGAGCTCGCACCTTGGTAATGTCATTTGAATAAACAAATGAGGCTATCACAACTATCCCAGCCACAGTGACCCCTTCAGCTCTTAATTGAAGCATTCAATAATTCATCTCTTATTGCATGCAACATTTTCATATCGTGTTTCACTAACATTTAACCCCGGATGAATGTCTCATCTCCCTACTAGCTGACTGCATCCAGCACTTCTCACTCCCACAGCACACCTGGGCTTGGGCCTGGGCCTGCGAATGCTCTGTAAGTCATCGTTGCTTCATTTGCAGCCAGACAGTTCTTGAATATCAGTCACTTGGATGTTTGAAAATTGTCACCTCTTAGATATTGCGAGAGTAGTGGTTCAAAGCACAAGGTTTAGAGCCAAACTGTGGGATTATAGCAAGTAACCTAACTCTCTAACTCTGTCTTCTTTTAAAACAAGGATAATAACTGATCGACCTCATAGGCTTGGGGTGAGTGTGAACTCATCAAGCCTTTAAAGTTTCATTAACTCACATGAGCCCTTGGAAAGGTGCCTGTCACATGGGAAATTCATCAACTTCACCACTGCTGCTGTTAGCTCGGACCCACCCCACCGTGCCGAGAAGGCCCGGGTCTGATCCCTGCAGCAGGGAAGAAAGCGGAGCCGTGTTGCCCACAGACAGCTTTCTGCCTCAGGCCCGTTGCTCTGGAGCAGGAGGAGGCAGGTGGTCAGTGTAGCAGAACATGCCACATCGCTGCTCGGGCATACTGATTATTTTGAAAAACAGCAAATGCAGAGGGAGACTTTCTCTGAACTGCTTATCTGCCTAAAGACACATCCTCCAAAAGGAACGCAGTGGTTATGAATTCCCCCCCACCCCCCCTGGGAGTTTCATCAAGCAGGAAAGATTGACTCATCACAGGAGAGGAGACTAGAAATGGACACCACACCCAGACCAATGATTGCAAACTATCATACCTCCTTCCCATCTATTCCTCTAAGGGCCCACTCATCTTTTCTAAGGAGGCCGACATCCTCCCTCCCCTTTCTCTATTCGGATGGTAGTTAAGCCTGAATTCCCGACACCGAGGGGAGTTACTCATTTCCAATTTATGCGTGTTTCCTCTGGTTAATCTGTTAATTGCAGAGGTCTCAGCTACGAACACAGAAGGTACAGGGAAAATTATTTTTCCTTTCCTACATAAAAATAACTTAGTAAGATGATTTCCAGAACCCAGGCTCACTCAGCAGAAATACTGGGATGTGAGCAGACGCTCACTGAGGCTCTGTAGGAAGCAGTGCATCAGCACATCAGAACCCTAGGTCTTGGGGGCTGCAGAGCTCTGGGAAGCAGAAATCGTGACGTGCACGGTGCAGGTTGGGATGGAGGCCGCAGTGTCTCACCACCCAGTCATTTCACTGTGTGGCTTCTCTGTCAGCGAGACACCCCCCCCCCCTCCCCGCCTATTGAGGAGCTTGAGCCAAGGCGCCTGGACTGTTCTCTGTGCACAGGTGCTCAAATGCTACAGTCACCCATCAACGCAACGATGGCCCATGCTCGTCCTTCCACTGGGAAATGCTTCTCATTAAAACTCTGCCTGTTAAAATTCTACCCGTCCCCCAAAGCACAGCTCAAAGGATGCCTTCTTATTCATTTATCCAAAATGTTTGCTAAATGCCTACTTATTTCAAACCAGACCTTCCTCTGGGGACACCAAGAGGAATGAGGAGCCCAGAGTGTAATGTGAACAGCCAGGCAAATAAATACTGAAATTCAGTGAGCTCAGAGCTGTAATAGAGGCATTTACAAAACATAGTGGGGTCTTAAAGCACTCATCCTGCAGGGAAGGCAATTGGCCACAATCAAACAAATGAATCAAATAATTTCAATTTGAGAAACTTGTTATAAAGAAAATAAAAGTAGTTAATCTGAAGGACACTGGCTAGAAGGCTGGGTGATCAGGGAAGTCCTCTCTGAAGTGACATTAAGCCAAGAGTGAAATGATGAGAAGAGCTTGGCCAGGGAGGAGTTGAGGGAGCTGCAAATACAAAGGTCTGGAAAGCAGGAATGGTGCTGAGGGCGCTGAGCATGGTGGTTTTGAGGAATAGAAAGAATGTCATGTGCCCAGCCGGTATGGGACAGTGGTTGAGCATTGACCTATGAACCAAGAGGTCACCGGTTCGATTCCCAGTCAGGGCACATGTTGCCTGGGTTGTGGGCTCGAACCCCAGTGTGGGGTGTGCAGGAGGCAGCCGATCAATAATTCTCTCTCATCATTGATGTTTCTATCTCTCCCTCTCACCCTACCTTCCTCTCTGAAATAAATAATATCTTTTTAAAAAAAGAAAAGAAATAATGTTATGTGTCTGGAACGGAGTGAGAGGGGAGTGGTGGAAGGTGAGCCAAGTTGAGATTATGGCATAAATAAAAAGTTTGCATTCTGCTTCTTTCACTCAATATTATAATGTAAGAATATTCTCGGTGTGGAAATGATTTGTAAACCTTTTTAATAACAGTATTTAAAAATTGTCATACAAAAAAGTTGCTTTATGCTTTAAAAAATTATCATAGGAAGTGCACTCCTGATACGGAGATACTGCTTTCTTAGGCTTCAGCACAAGTCAGTGGGCTGAAGGGCAAAAAGCTGTGGGAGCCGGCCAGCCCTTCCTGCAGGTGTCCTCACTGCACTTATGGGACCCTGGTGTCAAGGTTCAAAAAGGCAAAAGCCCCATGTACCAAGCCCCAGAGACCATTGATATATCCTGTTCCCAACAGAGATCTCTGATCTCCAGAAACCTCTCTCCAGCCTTTTGCCCCACCCTTTGTATTGTCCCTTCTACTGTGCCCATGCCTGGAGCAGAAACAATGTGAATGGTTTCTCAGTGAATTCTCAGGTGAGCCCTGATGAAGACCACTTCCCTGCCTCCCATTCGCAAGGAACACAGTGCTGACAAGGCCCTCTTCCAGAAGGATGCTCTCCTTTCTCCTCTCCAGTCCCTCGCTTTGGCTTCTGGCTTGCCTGGAAAGCCATGGGACTTCATCGACTTCTCTCTGCCAACATGTTAGTCTTCGGGGCTTGAGCTGCAGGGTCTGCGGAATTCCTGCCCATACTCGTGTATCCACTTGTTGGCCACTGGGGGAGAATGGGGAGGAAGAGAGCAGGCTCAGCAGAGCGAACAGTGGCAGTGCTCACCACAGGGTTGCACCCTTAAATTCTGCACCCAGGCAACTCACTTGCCTAACCCCCTAGTCCCAGTCCTGCTACAGACTAGACCAGCCGTGGACAAACTACTGCAGGGTCTGCGGAATTCCTGCCCATACTCGTGTATCCACTTGTTGGCCACTGGGGGAGAATGGGGAGGAAGAGAGCAGGCTCAGCAGAGCGAACAGTCCATCCATGCTTTTGTTCCGGCCCTCCGGTCCAGTTTAAGAACCCATTGTGGCCCTCGAGTCAAAAAGTTTGCCCGCTACAGACTAGATGTTGCTTCTAGCAGAGATAAATAGCAAAGAGGACATTGATCCCTAGGAAAAGTCCTGACAGGCCCTGTCTACTATAGATGAATTTTCAAACCTGTGGGTTCTGAGGTCAGTCATCTTTTATTCATGTAGCTCCTAAGAGCCCACCTCCCCCATGGTGCCACTCCAGAGTAATGAGAGAAAAGGGTGCCCCTTCCTGGCAGTGTCCATCTCAGCATGAGAGTCCCTCTCCTTTTTCTGTATTCAGAGCTAAGTCCTATTGGACACACATATTACATAAACACATCCCCTACCTATTTATCTCGTCCTTGTTTGACCATCCCTTCATGGGGAGGCACTGAATGGTTCTCCCTGGGATACAGGACTAGGACTCAGCACCATCTGTCTCCTCAGCCATACTCAGGAATCCAGGCCCGTCTGTCAGGTCAGTAGCCTTTACTGACACCTGCTCTGTGACAGATCCCTGCCCTTTGTGGGCTCCCGATTTGTTGGGGGCAACTACCCCAGAGTCTGATCATCTCGCTATAACGTGGCACTGCAATGAAGCTTTTAGAGTGAGAGGACGGCTATTTTCCATCCACCCCTATTTCACTTCACTATGAACCCCTCACCCCATTCTTACACCCAGAAAGGCAGGCCTTACCCCACTTATCTCCCACCAGGACAGGACAGCCAGCATGAAGTGTGTCACCATCCCCTTCACCACTCTTATGCAGGTTCCACCAAAATAGTGCAGCATTCTGGAAACAAAATGACCCCAACCCCAGTCATTCCTTGGGAAGCACATGACTGAGAACAAATGCATGCATGTCATTACATGAAAGCCTTCCATGCAGGTTGGGGGCAAGGCATGCATAAAATGGCACAAAGTGGCATAAGCTGCCATTCATTCATGCATGCATTTGTCCTTTATTGAGGGCCTACCCTGCTTCAGGCCCAGAAGATGCAGAGACAAATCATGTCCAATTCTACTCTAAGGAGCTCACAGTCTTTTGGGACAGACAGATTTAAAAACAGACCAGGACAAGACAGTGTGATAAGTGCTAGGAGAAAGGTGAGTATAGGATGTCATTGAATCGCTGAGGAGATGCACACAACAAAAATCCACAAGGTGGAATAAAACATTCCTCATACAACTAAGAACTTAATCCAGACACCCCTCCTTAGGCTCTCACTAATAACACCCCCGGGGAGCCAGCATTTTCACACTCCCCAATTTATCAGGAGGACGTTGAGACCCAGGGGCTTTAAACAATGCAACTAAGAAGGAACAAGGTCAAGACGCCAAGTCCAGTGTTTGGACTCCAAGTCATATGTTCTTCCTCCATACCCAGCGTCCCCCTCTATACTTCTATAGACTTACTTTAACCTTCACCAACCCCTGAGTATTCGTAGATACCTGCATTTACTTAATGGATGCTTTGTGATGTGCAGGGCACTGTGGCAAGTGCTTTATAGGCACAATCTCATTTATTTGTCCTAATTTCATTCCTGAATTTAATAAGGGCTGCCATCCCTGATTGATTGATTGATTGACTGGTCTAAAATTTGGGGGAAATATTCATTCATGATCCGAAGATTAATAAAAAACAGTTCTATTTTATGTTCTATTGTAATAGAGAAGTTCTACTATAATAGGGAAGGCAGACATGGAATTGTCTACTTGTAATATAAGTGTAAATAAAAATAGAGGCACAATAACGTGGTCATCAAGACTGAGGGATTATCTTTGATTCTGGGAATCACGGAAAGACCTCTTCTTGTCCCTACCCCCTCGGAATAAGCTTGCAAGCACAGACAACATGAAAGCTAGAATGTTAGTTCTTCACCTTACAGCCATCTGTTGGGACCAGATCCCCACTCACCTTGACCACAGGCATGCTGAAGTTGGCATAGATGAAGGCTGTAGCTCCTCCAGCTTCCACCGAGCTCAGCTGAAACACCAGAGGAAGAACCAGAGTTGAAAGAGCCCCTGACTGCCCTACTTGGCCCTACCTGACCTCGATGTCATTTCTGCGTAGATTCCCTCCCCTGTTCTCCTGTTCAAATCTGAGAGAAATACTTACGGAAAGACAATTACCCAATTTAGGAATTAAAGAAGCCTACTCAATGGGTGTTTGCCTGCAGGGCCACAGGAGGAAGGACATTTAGGAATTCCCCCTTTCTTTACTCTTCTAGCTACATTAACATCCTTATTGAAGGCGACAATAAGTAGATTCAAACTTTGAGACCCTCAGAAAGAAACACTGGTTATATCACAACCCAACACACACACACACACACACACACACACACACACACACACACGCACACACACCCTGAAATAGTAAATGTTTCATAAAATATTCTTACTACATAAGATACCCTCTTATTTTCCATTTCATTTTATTCTCTTCTTGTTCAGAATTCTTAAATACTGACCAGATCCACTAATGCAGTGGTTCTCAACCTTCCTAATGCCGTGACCCTTTAATACAGTTCCTCATGTTGTGGTGACCCCCAATTTCATTGTTACAAATTGAACATAATTAAAGCATAGTGATTAATCACAAAAACAATATGTAATTATATATGTGTTTTCCAATGGTCTTAGGCGACCCCTGTGAAAGGGTCATTCGATCCCCAAAGGGATTGCGACCCACAGGTTGAGAACCGCTGCACTAATGGGTCATGACCTGTGGCTCACAGAACACTGCTTAGACTATAACAATTAGTTTTGAAAGTTGGGCATCATAGGATCTACTGATTGCATCTTTCCCAGGTCACTCAGTCCTTCTCTAGGTAACCTCAGCTAAGGCGTTTCACCACCATATTCTAGAATTATGGATGTGCTTTCTTAATATGAAGAGTTTTGTCTTGATTTGCACTTCTTTGTATCTCCTAGAGACTTTTCAGCTGCAAGTATCAGATAAAATCAACACCTGAAATTGCTTTGAAAACCATAAAATAAGAGAGAGACATAAATAGTCCTTAAGTAAGAAGCCCTGGTTCAAAGCCAGACTCACATAGATCATAAATGTTGCAACTCGGTTCCCAGACTTCATTCTGTACAGTGGGCTGGTTGGTGACTGAGACAAAAATAAAACATCATTATTTTATGCAGTTGGCACCAGAGTGACAGCCAGGATTCCACCATAATACAGGGAGGAGAAAAATGGGGGTGTCACAGGTGGGATATAGTCTTGAGTTACACCTGATCGAATTTGTGCCCATCTGTGCTTTTTGGTACTCAATGTACTTTTTTATTACTAATTTGTTAGACACTCATAAAACACAATTCCTTGCTAGTAGTGAAAGAACTGTATGAGGGGTTAATTGCACCTTCAGGTTCTTGGTGGAATAAATAAATTAACATATAAAATATTACAGATAATTATTCTGTAGTAATACCAAGTCATAAGACTGGAGTTCCCAGTTATATGTTGAAAAGACATACCCGTTTTTTTTGTCATAGAACAGCTTAGTTAAGATATAATCTACATATTATGAAATTCACCCTGTTTAAGTGTACTATTCAATGACGTTCAGTAAATTTTAACAGTGTGCAACCATCCCACCAATCCAACTTGAGAACACTTCCCTCAACTGAGTTTCCTCGTCTGTTTGCAGTCAATCACCACTCCCACCCCCAATACCGGGAAACCACTGATCTACTCTCTGTTCCTTTAGTTTTGCCTTTTCTAGAAATTTCATATAAATAGAATCATAAAATATGTAGATAGAGTGATTGGAGGAAGGACAATCTTCCCTGGGAAGTGCTCGAGTGAAGCAAGATAGGAGACTGACAGGTCACATTCTTCTCCCCACTAGCAAATGAAGGAGAGGTGGATGGTGGATATAAGAAAATGGGTTACCAGAAATCAGCCTGAAACGAAGGCTTTCAGATCTTCCTGGAACAAGAACCTTCACTTCGTTTTCCACAGAAGTCCTATAAGAGCTCTGCCTCAGAGAAATAAATGACACTTTGGTTCTCCACCCCAGGAGATTGGTCACTGACCCCGTAGTTACCGTAGCATGGTCAAAGTGGGGCTCATAGTGCCCTCCGATTCCGTAGTTCACCACCTGGAGATACTCTGCGTAGGGAGGCTGGACATCAAGGCCTGTGAGGGCAGCAATGCGATGGTCAAGGGTGACCAGCATTGGGTCAACGGTGTCCTTCAGCCAGGCACTAAAACAAATCACAGGTTGGAGCACTAGTGATCTCATGCCAGAAACTATTACTAGTAAATATCTGTGAATGAATGAATGAGAGATGTCAACTGCCAGAGGAAGGAAGACAGGAAGATAGATGTAGATGCCGAATTACCTACTGGCTCCTCATGCTAAGTCTACTATGCTTCACCTCAACATCCACACATTCATTCATTCAACAAACATTCTCTGAGGCTTCTCACTGAATGCCAGGCCCTATGCTAGGTGCTGTGAAGATTGAAGAAGGCTCAAAGCATGAGGAGCTGGGATACAAAGAGGAAAAAGACAAAACCCTGCCTTTAAAACTGCTATGTTTCAGAGACATGTCAACAGCTGCATGCAATGGGAAAAGCTTTGGATTCAAAGTAGTAAGAGCAGTCCCTGATCCTCCGTGTGACCTTATGTCAGGCACTTAACCTTTAACCTCTCTAAGGCTCACTGTACTCATCTATGTAATGGGGATGATAATAATATCTACTTCATAGACTTAGGAAGATTGTGAGAGTCAATGCATATGAAGATGATTTGTAAGCTGCATGCGAGTGATTGCAGTAAAACAGAACAATCTCTGCTCTTCTGTCCCACTCCAAGACAAACCAGGATAGATCAAAGGCCAAAGAGCAAAGTTCAGTCTCTTTTCCTGAATGTCTTGTTGAGGTTCTGATAAAGTGGAGGATTTGGGATCAGAATGTAGGTCCCAAGGAAGTGAGTGCAAGGGAAGTACTGTGCTATATGCTCTTAGGTTTAAAAGATACCCAAGACAAGGCTGTTACATCAAAAAGCTCATGGGAGAAGATACACAAGTGTAACTGAGTACAGATCAAGGTAGAGTGAAAAAATGAGAACTAGTCTTTACAGTCAAGTGCTGGGGAGCACAGAGGAAGAAGACCTCATTCTGACTAGAGCACTGCGGTGAGACGGTGACAAGCGGGCCAAATTTTAAAGGGTGCATAAAAGTTAAGAGATAGAAAAGACATAGGGGTATTCCAGGATGAAGAAACAGCATAAGTACAGACATGGAGGGGTGACAATCGTGTGTACAGAAGTGAAAACAAGAACTATGAGACAATGCTGAACCAACAGGCTCATGTTGGAAAACACAATGGACACCGTGTTCAGAAACCTGGTCTTCACTTTGTGGGTAATGGATGGTCAGTGAAGGTTTGTGGGAGGAAAATGACTTGGCAAATAGGAGTGCAACGGTGACCTTTGAGAGACCAGTTACAGTGACGCTGTGAGGACAGAACCAGAGTTCCAAGGGAGGCAGAGTGATGGGAAGGAAGAAGAGGTAACGAGCATCTCAGTTTCTTTACCTGAAAAGTAAAGAGAAGACCTACTGCCCTAAAGATTAATTTTCTCTTTGACACTGGAATGTCAGAAAGGTTAGAAACGCAATGAAGCTGAGGTCATATGTGTCTTCCAAAGCTTAGAGGATAATTCCTAATGCGAAAGATTCCTAAATGGACCAGACCCAATCCCTCCCCTCACTTCCCAGACAGCAAAAACTCTCCACCCAGCCTGAGGTCTGGCCTCTGCCCAAGGATGTGTCATCTCATCTCCATGGCTGTGATGGGGACCCTCCTACTGGATCATCAGTCTTGTCCTTACAGTGTAAATAAGGCGCTGCAGTGGGGGTGGGGGGACAGGGGTGGAAGGAGGGGATCGGCTGGGCTCTGGCAGCTGAATCTGCTCCTCTAGTGAAGCCTTCATGTCCAGAGATCCCAGTCATCCTTCTTGCCTGAACGCTGGCAAGTCATGCTTTGAATATGAGTCAGGATGTGGGAATGGAATCTTGGAAAGTCAAATTACAAAGAGGGATGGGACCGAGTTCTCTGGAAAAGCAATCCTGGTTAGAGCAACTACACACTTATTTTTTTGGTTAGGGCAAAGGAGCTTTTTCAAGTGTTTCCCCATGGCTCCTAGTTAAGTCCTCGGACCATATAACGACCTGTGAGAGGCCTTTGGGGCAGGGGAGTAGCCACGTCTCCTGCTCAACAAGAATGTACAGGTATCAACACCAACTAGAGGTTCTCCGGCAGCATCTCCAATGGCACCGAAGGGCTGCTGCTGGCCTTCAGCTGAGCCGCTGGCCAGAAGGTAGGCGGCAGGTATGGCCAGAGTTCCAGACAAGGAAGGACCCTCTTACCTTTTGCTAATGCGGTACTCCACGGGTAACTGCTTTTCGCCGGATGCCACCACAGATCTCTGCAGCTGACGGGAAGAACATAAGAGAACGTCCAAGTGGTTATGATGCGGAGGGAAGAGCTCCGTCATTGCCATAGACATGCTTCCCCCCCTCCCCCAACATAAACCTAACAATCGCCAGTTCCTCCCAATTAAAGGATATTTTGCACAGGATACTAATTTAGTAATAGCTATCGATCTTGAAAATAAGAAGTGACAAAAATCTCAGAGCTGAAATAATCTTTAACACTGAGTCTGGTAGACAGTAAGCGCTCAGTAAAGGTCTGTTGAACGGAAACACAGTGATAGTCTAATCCCTTTTGCATCCACACGGCTGTGAGTTCTGTAAGAAAAAGAACTGTTTCTCACTCCTCGTTGTATCCCAGTGTCTGGCACAGGGCCTGCCCGACGGTAAGCACTTAGTGTTTGTTGAATTAAATGAACACCTCTAACAGAAGGAAACTTTCTACCTTCAGTGGCCGCCTATTCCTTCCGAACAACTCTAACAAAGGCCCTTCCTTACAGGGAACCAAAATCTGTTTGCTACAACTGCCCTGACTGGGGGGAGGGGACCAAACAGGTTTAAAGTCACTAATTTAACTGAATGTTTGGACATAAAATTTACATTATTTATTTTTATTTTTTGTTAATCCTCACCTGAGGATAATTTTCCATTGATTTTTAGAGACAGTGGAAGGGAGGGAGGGGGAGAGATGGAGAGAGAGAAAGAAACATTGATGTGAGAGAGACACACTGACTGGTTGCCTCCTGAACGTGCCCCGACCAAGGCCAGGGAGGAGCCTGCAACTGAGGTATGTGCCCTTGACCGGAATCAAACCGGGGACCCTTCAGTCCATGGGCCAACACTTTATCCACTGAGCCAAACCAGCTAGGGCAGGGGTGGGCAACCTTTTTGTGAGTGCGTGCCAAAACCAGCAAAATCTCTGACTCAAAATTCTTCTGCGTGCCAACCCTAAACATGTTACGCCTACTTGATAGCTCTTAAGGTATACGTATGTGAAGAACCTTGAAGAAATAATAAAATTCATTCGAGCGACAAAAACACAGTATATGATGATGAAAAATACATTTATTTTTTAATGTATACATGTACACTGATAGTCCGACAGAAAACTTTATGACTCCGTTTGATATTATCAGTGGGACTTTTGCTGCTGCATCACTGATGACAGAGATTTTACATCAGGTTTATATTTCGTGACCTTCAGAGATATGCACGAGCTACTCCTTTCATCCGTCAGGCTACTCCTATTACGAGACTTAACAAAATTCATCACTCAGAACAAAGATTCACAATTGTAAATGGAAGATTATAAGAGAGGGTTTCGCGTGCCAGCAAAAGTTACTGGCGTGCCATGTTTGGCACGCGTGCCAGGGGTTGTCCACCCCTGAGCTAGGGCTACATTATTTTTTATATTGATTTTGAGAGAGAGAGAGAGACATTGATGTGATGTGATATGGGGATCGAACCCACAACCTGAATATGTGCCCTGACTGGAAATCAAACCCACCACTTTTTGGTGTATGGTGCTATGCTCCAACTGAGCCACATAGACCAGCCAGGGCAACATTATTTTCTTTCTTTTTTTAAAATATATTTTATTGATTTTTTACAGAGAGGAAGGGAGAGGGATAGAGAGTTAGAAACATTGATGAGAGAGAAACATCAATCAGCTGCCCCCCACACACCTCCTACTGGGGATGTGCCCGCAACCAAGGGACATGCCCTTGACCGGAATCGAACCTGGGACCCTTCAGTCCGCAGGCCGACACTCTATCCACGGAGCCAAACTGGTTAGGGCGCAACATTATTTTCAAATAAAGGGGGTTCTAATTGCAAAAGCACTGTACCAGGAATAGAAAGAAAAATAATGTTTATTTTTATGATGATGCATTTTCTTCTGCATCTGTCATCAGAATATCAGCTTCATGAGGGCAAGGACTTGGTCTTCTGTCAGTGCTGTACCCCCAGGGCCCAGAGAAGGCCTGGAAGGGAGTGGGTGCTCAATACTGGGGAGATG